AACCCCATCGTGTACGCCATCAGCCACCCCAAGTACCGAGCTGCCCTTGAGAAGAAGCTGCCTTGCCTTGCCTGCAACACTGAGGGTAGAGACGGTGGTGGCTCTGATGCCGGTTCTACTGCTACAACTGCTGAAAATAATGAAAAGGCGGAATCCGCATAATTGCAGAAGGATTGCGAGAAAGATCCTTCGGATATTACGAAAACAATTTAATGTATCCCTTTTATTTGCTATTATAATTGCAAATATATCCCAGCATCGATTTATGTTTTACTTCCCACCTAAGAAAAGGAATATTTGAAAAGATAAAATATTGCAGAACCCCACGGTTTCTTTCTACAAATGATATTGAATATTCCCTGAGTGGACGTTCATGATGAACTCTCACACTTGATAACATAACACAATTCAGTACTTAATTTTCAGAGCAATCAGAAATTTTAATTTCTTATTTCAAACTATTCTTTATAAAATGGCTTTTTCAAAGAGCCCCCCCCCAAAAAAAAAAAAAAAATGTAAAGTGAAAAAGAATGCATTCGATATATGTCATCCATTCATTTGAAATTTCCAGTCGGCTCGTAACCTTGCAAAAATCTTATTCCAGATCATCATGACCGTTACATGTTTGTCCTATTTCTGGCGTCGTGGCGAGAAATCCCTTCATTTTCATCTAGTATCTGGAAGACGACAGTGTCGATCTTTTAAGTAATTTCTAAATGGGTGACCCATTATAAAATTGAAACATTTCCTTTATCATGAATGACAAAAAGGTAAGCTGTTATAGATGGCCAGAGAAGAGATGTAGTTAGTACTTTGATGTAAAGCTCAGCAGCGAAATGTTGATGCACCTTTACATCAACATTGGACGTTGCAGAAAAACACACCGCATGATGTGGAAACATATATGTATGCATATGTGTGATAAGACTACATATACATGTGCGTGTGTATCTATGTTTATATATATATATATATATATATATATAATATATATATATATATATATATATATATATATATATATATATATATATATATATGAGCGTGTGTGCGTCTATACATTAATACATATATATATATACATATATACATATATATATATATATATATATATATATTATATATATATATGTATATGTATATATATATAATATATGTACAAATATGCATATAAATAAACACATACATGTATTGATATACTTTTGCATATTTATATATAAACATGTGCATATGTATACGCATATATGTATACTTAAATATAAGTATCTGAATAGTTACATATATATAAAAGTATATAATGTATATAGTAATAACAGATATTCATATAAACATACCATTATTTGAATACATATATATATATATATATATATATATATATATATATATATATATATATATATCATCATCATCATCTAGGAGCTAACACCGACGGGGGCGCATAGCTGCATCCACCCTTCGTTTTCACCTTTGAGGGTCACTCATGGCAAGCTGCCAGGCAGGGACTCGGCCCATCTCGAGCTCCTCACAATAGGTTTGATCGATCTGCCCAAGACACGACTTCCTAGGTCGTCTCACAAGCCACCTCCACCCAGGGCTGTCTCGTACAGAGACAACCTAGTGGGAGGGATCATCCTGTGGAAACTGAGGCAGGTGGCCATATAGCTTGAGTTTGGCAAGCACGGATTGTGCAGGTAACAGGTCCTGTGCCAGTCTCACGGTGCAACCATTGGTTGGACACGTGGTCCCGCCAACAGTACCCCCAAGATCCGGTGCAAAGACCTATTATAAAAGTCATCAATATGGGACTCTAAGGCACAGGATAACGTCCAGATTACACTACAATGTACCAAATCTGGCATTATCAGGGCCTTGAGAACGCGTAGCTTGGTCCTTCTGCACAGGCACCGGCATCTCCAAATACTCTTGTCGAGAGAGGTCATGACTCCTGCTATCAGGCCAATCCGTCTGCTGACTTCCTGGTCTGAACTACACTACCAAGGCATGTAAAGCTCTCTGTGACTTCAATGTTCTCGCTGCAATCACACACAGACTGAACAGGTTCTCCTAGCAAACCAACAAAGTCCTGCATCTTGGTCTAGGTCTAGGAGACCTCTTGACGCAATGGCTTCGTTTCATTACTAAATGCATCAAGAGCCACCACTAAGGTTTCCAAAGAACAGCAACATTTGCAAAGTCAAGGTCAGTAACCTTGATATTGCCCAGAGTTGCTCCACAATGACTGAACAGTAGCTCGCCCAAAATCCAGCCAATACAAGTGTTGAAAAATGTTGGTGCAAGGACACAGCCTTGCCTCACTCCTGAACTAACAGGAAAGAAGCTCGATAGCCCCCCCCCCCTCCCCACACGCACACTTTACAGCACTTTCAGTACCAGTATACAGGCTTGCGATTAGTCCAATAATCCTTGCTGGAATTCCTCTCAGTCTCAGGTTCTCCCGGAGTAATTCCCGATGCACCGTATCTTGAGGTCGATATTGGCT